GTGTAGCCTGGCTGTCCTGGAACTCACTATGTAGACCAGGCTGGCCTTGAACTCGCAGAGATCCTTCTGCCTCTGCCTCCCAAGTGCTGGGATTAAAGATCTGCGCTACCATTGCCCAGCCTGGTTTTTTTGTTTTGTTTTGTTTTGATTTTTTTTTTGGTTGTTGTTAAGATGGGTTTTAAAAAAATTGTTTACATTTTTTTGGTTACTTTAGTGTGCCTCTGTGTATGTGTGTCCCATAACACAATGTAGAGAGGTCTTAGGACAACTTGCAGACTTGCTCCTCTCCATCCACCATGTAGGTTCTAGGGATTGAACTCAGGTCACTGACCGTGTGGCGAATGCCCTTACTCACTCGGCCATCTTGCTAGCCCCAAGACAGTCTTAATATACAGTCCAGGGCCGGGCGGTGGTGGTGCACACCTTTAATCCCAGCACTCGGGAGGCAGAGGCAAGCGGATCTTTGTGAGTTCGAGGCCAGCCTGGTCTACAGAGCGAGATCCAGGAACGGCACAAAGCTACACAGAGAAACCCTGTCTCGAAAAACCAAAAAAAAAAAAAAAATATATATACAGTCCAGGGCTGACCTTGAGCTTGTGGCAATCCTCCTGCATCAACCTCCTAAATGCTAGGGTTACTTCTATATAGTTCTCTGAATTTAGCAACTAACATAAGGCCTTGACTCTCTACAGCACTACACAGTGTCATCGTTAATTTGCCCTTTTCTTTAGTAATTAAATATATACTGAGTAATTGTTAATGGTCATAGCTAACCTGCATGTGTACATGGCACGGATTTAGACCTTGACCTTCCAGCTAGGAAATACCTTTTCTTGGACAATTGTGGAGTTGGGGTGTTTGAGGCCTGAGTGGGCAAAACCAACGAAGGAGGCAGGAGCAAACAGTGGTGAATTCCTGCAATCCCAGCATTCAGGAGGGTGCGGCAGTAGGCTCACTCACTGCAAGTTCAAGGCCAGCCTGGTCTACATTCTGAGTTCCGGGGAGCACAGACCACATAGCTCAGGTTTCAAAAAACAAACTACCAAATAAAACCAAAACGAAGGGGCGGGGATGCGGCATGGTGGCACAAGACTTAAATCCTGGTACTTGGGAGGCTGAGGCCAGGTTAGGCTAAATAGTGAGACCCTATCAAGAAAGAGAGGAGGGAGGGAGGGAGGGAGGGAGAGAAACAAAACAAAACAAAAAACAAAACAAAAAAAAACCCCACACACCGAAATTAACCAGATGACCCAAAGGCCCACATTATGGAAGAGACTCCCACAGGGTGTTCTATGACCTCACACACACACACCCTCCACCTCCGCCGCCCCACGCGAGCCTCCGAAAGAACAAATGTAACCCCCCCCCAAAAATTTTTTTTTAAAACCAAACAAACTATATACACACTCTGTTCTGTGTGGAAAGTAGCAATGAGATCAGGAATTCAAGGCCATCCTCTCCTACACTTCAAGTTCAAGACCGGCCTGGACTAAATGACGCCTGTCTCAAAAAGCCAAAAAAAAAAAAAAATACACAAAAAAACTGAGTATGCTCCCTGAAGTCTCGTCCTCTAATAACTCTAGGTTCAAAAAAACGTTTCTTCCAGAAGAAGGAAGGAACGAAGGACAGAACGCCAGCGAGGGTGCTGTGCCGCTCAGCCTTCTGGGAGACGTAGTTCCGTGGTTCCGTCCCCTATGGCGCAGCTGAGGCGGTTCCTGCTAATGCGCATGTCCGGGGGCGGGGACCCGCGCATGACTGAAGGGAGGGGCGGCTGCGGGGGCGGAGCATCTCAGGTGTTTGGGGAACGGTCCGCTCGGCTGTCGGAATGGCGGGCAGGGGTAAACTGATCGCGGTGATTGGAGACGAGGACACGGTGACGGGTTTCCTGCTGGGCGGCATAGGGGAGCTGAACAAGAACCGCCACCCTAATTTCCTGGTAGTGGAGAAGGATACCACCATCAATGAGATCGAAGACACCTTCAGGTACGGTAGCCTGTGAGGCCTAAATGGGTCCTTCTGCGTGTTACAAGCGCGAGGAGAATTAGCGGCCTGTTCACCTGGGCGTCAAGTGGTGATGGGGATCGGGCTGGTCCTGGAAGCCGTCAGCCCATCCGGAGCAGAGGCCTCCGCCGCCTAAGTTCCCTTTGGGGCTCAGAGGGGCCCGGCGTGTCAGTCAGGTTCACGAGCTCCCAGTCACGTGATTGTGTGTCTGGTTAAGAGAGCAGAGCTTGTGATCCGCCCCCGCTGTAATTAGATGCTTGGAGCCTCCAGTCCGTGGAGACCTGCAGGCGCAGCGCCTCTTCCGGGGTCCCTGACGCTCACCTGTAGCACCATTCTCTGGACCTTATAGTCGAGTCGTACCCTAAACAAACCACATCCAGTGTGGGTCTGGACAGTGGGCTCGTGTGTGTGTGTGTGTGTGTGTGTGTACACGCTTCATTTATCTTAGAGGCTTACAATTGTCCTGTAAGGTAGTGGTTATTCCCACTTACTGGGGAGAAAAATGAGGAACAGATAGGTTAGGGCACAGGCACAAAGATAGACAGACCAGCCGTAAGAGGCAGAACCTAGATCAAACTCTTTCTCTTTTATTTGTTTATTTAACATAAGGTTTCTCTGTGTAGTCCCGGAGCTCGCTCTGTAGACCAGACTGGCCTCGAACGCAGAGATCCGCCTGCCTCTGCCTCCTGAGTGCTGAGATTAAAAGCCTGCACCACCACTACCCATCTCTCTCTCTTTTTTTTTAATTTACTTACTTATTTATTTTTTAGTTTTCCGAGACAGGGTTTCTCCATGTGGTTTTGGAGCCTGTCCTGGATCTCACTCTGTAGACCAGGCTGGCCTCGAACTCACAGAGATCGCCTTACTCTGCCTCCCGAGTGCTGGGATTAAAGGCGTGCGCCACCACTTCCCATCTCTTTTATTTTTAATTACTGAGTCTGTGTGTGTGATGTGTGTCCTTGGGGAGGTGTGCTTGTCACTGCACACATATGGAGGTCAGAAGACAACTTTGTGGAGTCAATTTTCTCGTTCCATGGGCTTCGAGGACAGAACTAACGTAGCCAGCAGGCACCTGCACCCACCAAGCTGTCTTGGTAGCCCCCTTTTGCTTTTCTTAAGCTAGTACCTCCTCTGTTTGTACAGCTCCCTGCAGTCTGCCTTGGGGTTTCCATTTGTCTTGAGTACGGTGGGCAGACCATCTGGAAAGTATGGCCTTGCACAAAGACCTTGTACTTCAAGTCCTCACTTTGTGCCCAGGGTCAAAGATCATAGTTTCAAAAAAGTGGTTGCAGGCATTCCTTCTAAGCCAGGAAGTGTCCTGGTTGACAACAGTCGAGGGTGCCCACTCCCTATTCTTTCTCTCCTTTTTCAGGGTTACTTTGCCAAGTCTCAGGAATAAACTGCCCTCACCTGTTTTCCCTAAATAGCCCAGCCCGGGGATGCTGGCTGAGACTAGTTCCCACTGCCTGGGATGTGGCAGGCTCTGGCCTGGTGCGCTCAGCTGATCTCTAAGCAATATGGTAAAGTGTCCTCCGTTGTCACTGGAGGACAGATTTTTACTTCCAAGAATTTTCCATGTTTGCAACAAGAAGGAATCCTAAAATGATCAAGTCAAATCTATTCCATGCTTGGCATAAAGTAGGTGCCCAGTCAATTATTTTTGTTTTGTTTTGTTTTTTGAGACAGGGTTTCTCTGTGTAGCCTTGGCTGCCCTGGGACTAAAGGTGTGCCTCAGCCAGGCGGTGGTGGCGCATACCTTTAATCCCAGCACTCAGGAGGTAGAAGCAGGCCATCTCTGAGTTCGAGACCAGCGTGGTCTACAGAGTGAATTCTAGGACAGCCAGGTCAGAGAAACCCTGTCTCAGAAAGGAGAAAATAAATAAATTAAAAAGGTGTGCCTCCACCGCCTGACTTTCTTTTCTTTTCTTTTCTTTTTTTTTTTTGTTGTTGTTTTTCAGTAAATTATTTGTAATGAGTAAATGGCTAAATGAATGTGTGCATCTGTGGGGGAGTGATCACATGAGAGGAAGGCCATGACAGTGGTTTCTGTCTGGAAACTGTGATTCCTTCATTGCTCGGTTTCCTCTTTCCATCTTGTCTTTGGCTTATGGCAAATGTCATCCTGGCCCTGGCCCATCCCTGCCCTTATCAGCACAGACTTTTCGGTGATCTCCTCAACCCGATATCTTAATATTTCTCCCTTCTCCACCTCCCTCAATAGTAAGATTCTTATGTTTCTAGAATCTTCTTATGCTGATACAAAGGGCCTCATACCTCTTTCCCTCTCCTCCCCTTTCCTACCCAGGGGCAGCATATAGACCACACTGACATGCACCCTGGTCTTCATACCATTTCCTCCCATGAGCAGATGATGGGTGTCCAAATGGTTCATTCAAGGAACGATAAGGTTGAGACCCTTGTGCCCCCAGGTCACTGTCATTGTCCTCCTTTTCCCCAACAGGCAGTTTCTAAACAGGGATGACATTGGCATCATTCTTATCAACCAGTACATCGCAGAGATGGTCCGGCATGCTCTTGACGCCCACCAGCGGTCCATTCCAGCTGTCTTGGAGATCCCATCGAAGGAGCATCCCTATGATGCAGCCAAAGACTCCATCCTACGCAGGGCCAAGGGCATGTTCACTGCTGAAGACCTGCGCTAGGGCTCCTCAGCCCTCAACCCCGCTCTCACTACCCGGCCTCTCCCAGCTTGCCAGTTTCCAGCCCCTCCCTTCCTCTTCACTGAGGGGCTCCTAAGCTGTGGGGGTTCTGCTGTTGAGATCCATGCTGGTTAGGGAAAGAGAGCCCCACCATCTTCTCTCTCCACAGTCCCTGTGCTGTTAAACGTGTTGATATTAAAGGAGTAGTCTCTCCAGGTGGACGCTGGGATGTGCAGTGTTGGGGGACATGAGATTGGCAAATAGGAGGAGGTTACCAAAGATCTAGGTGAAGAGTTGAGCCGGGTGTGTGTGTGTGTGTGTGTGTGTGTCTAATTCAAGGGCTGGTCGGTCACCTGGATCATAGACTGGCTACAGGGATGGAGGACAGAGCTGGAGCCCACTCCCTACCTTTGTGCCTTCACTCAGCTTCCATGGTGCTGGGAGGGCCCCTGCCCAAGGGACAAAAGCAACTGCAGAGGATTGTCATCTAGGTCAGCATTCTCACTCAACCTGTGGGTCGAGACCCCTTTCCCAGGGGTCCCGAAGACCACCAGAAAACATAGGTACTTACATCCTGATTCATAACAGCAGCAAAATTACAGCCATGAAGTAGCAACAAAATAAATTTATGGTTGGGGGTCACCACAGCAGAAGGGACTGTATAAAAGGGCCACAGCTCTAAGAAAGTTGAGAACCACTGTTGTAGAGGCTGAGGCCTACACGTTTGAGGATCAAGGTGTTTAGTTAGTGAGCCCTGCCCCTGGCTGTCTCAGAAAGGGCAACACAGGACGTCTGCTGAGGGCAATGGCAGGTAGAACCCTGGCCCTGTGTGAGGTGAGGCTGGTTGCCAGGTGACTGTCCCAGGGCATCCACCCTCTGTCTCTGCTTGCTGTCCTCACTCAGCAATAGCCACCCCAATACTGCTCATTCCCCTGTCACCATGTCGAGGCAGCTCAACATGGACACCCTGCGGCAAAACTTCTGGAAGGAAGAGTACCTCCGAGAGATGAAGTTGCGCTGTGAATGGCACCGCAAGTATGGGACTCTGGTGAAGGCCAAGCAGAAGGCCAAGGCTGCGGCCCGGCTTCCCCTCAAACTGCCCACCCTGATGCCTAAGGCCCCAGGCTCACCACCACCTGTCTCCAAAACAGCCCCTTCCAAGGCCCCCAGCCCTGTCCCAGAGGTTCATTTTCAGTCAGAAATGTACCCAGTGTCTCCTGACACCAAAGCCCTGCTGTATGAAGGCATCTCCCATGACTTTCAGGGGCGCTACCAGTATCTCAACACCCGAAAACTGCACCTGCCAGAGACGCGCTACCTGTTCCCCATCACCACCAACTTCACATACGGCTGGCAGCTGGGTGAGCCCCGACCTCCCATAAATAAGTCACCTCACAAGCATGGAGCTCCCGCCCTGTGCTGGAGAGCTGACATTCTAGGGGAATGCCGGATTGTGTAAATGGGGCGAGGAGATAGACCAGAGAGGGACAAGCCCTGTGAAATGAAGGGATGGTAGTTACAGGCAAGGAGGCAGGGGCTTCAGGCTGGATTGTCAGCAAAGGCCTTTCTTGAGGCTTTTGAGCTGAGGGTAAATGATGTGGGGAGGGCTTTGGATTTTATCCTCATTGGAGAGTTTTAAGCAGATGAGTGATACTGGATTTGGGAAACTGAAGCATCTAGCACATGAGTTAGGCATTTGTTTTGTGTTATCTTGGCAAGATGTGGTTAGGATTAGCAGAACTGAAATCAAGGATGTTTTGGACAAAACTCAATGGAGCCCATTGATGGTTTAAATGTGACAGGGACAGCAATCGATGGCAATATGCAGATTTCGTCGTACTTGCTGGTACGATTAGAAGAGACAGGGCTGGAGATGGGTGAAGACAGATCGGTGTTGGTCCTGGCAGGTTCCAGATGTCACTGAGGCAGCTGTGTGTGGAGGCATGGCCTTCAGGAGTTAGGTCAGAGGGAGTCATTAGAGTGTAAGAGCTATTTAAAGCAAAGGATAGAAGGTGGGCCAGAAGGTAGGGAAGCCATTGGCAGGAAGGCAGCCACCTGAGGTTTCTTCCCCCCTGAGGCTGGAGGTAGGTCATCAGCTGGGACAGAGAAGCTCAGTGGCTCTTCAGAAGTGTGGGGAAAGCAATAAGGCCGTGGGTGTCATCGCACTGATGCGGGCTCTTGAGTGTCCATTTACTGCCCGTCGGGAATTTCTAGGGAGTGTGTCCCGAGTGTGCACAAAAGCTGGGTGGTTGGAGATTGACACAGTTCCCTCAAACCCCCCCCCCCAGGCAAGTAAGGGCAGCAGCTTCCCTACAAAAGCAAGAGGAAGCCCCAGAAGGGGGTGCAGGTAGAAGGAGGTCCCATGTCTCCACAGTCTGTCCCTGTGACAGTCATAGCTAGAAGCACACTCTGACCTGGTGGCCCCGGGGAGAGAGTGGTCTGTCACCTATCTAGGTACCAAAAAGAAAGCCCTGGTGGAACATCTTAGAACTGGGTGACCATGGCAGACAGCTTCAGGCCACACTGCCGTCACTGCTGAGTCCAGTTGTCCAGCACCCAGATGTGTTTTTCTGTAGCCCTCACTCCTCAGAAGCCCTTTTCATTTATTCACACAGAGTAGATCCAACATGGGCAGAGTCGGGGGCTGTGTGACAGGGCGACTGTGCTCTGAGACCCTTCCCCGGAAACCCATTCCTAGTGTCTGACATCTCTTCCCAGGCCCTGCCACAAAGCAAGAAATGGTCTCTTGCAAGATGTGCCGTATTGAGTCATTCTTCCGGAAGAATGGGGCCTTTGCACTGCTGGACCCCCGAGACCTGGCCCTCTGACCTTGGGCCAGGCAGTGACTTAGGTGCAGAAAGAGGAAATAATAGGGTTCCTGGTGCAGCTGCATTGCTGTGTGTGTTTTTGTTCCTCCTGGCCTGGATGCTTCCCTCTGGACTTTTCTGAAACTACCTCACATCTGAGGTCACCCTTTAGCCTTTTCCTTAACCACCATTTCCGTGTCTCCATAGGGACCCAGCAAGGGCGGGAGCAGGCTGGGTGGTGTGCACACTATTCTCCAGGACTAGGTTCCTCGGTGCCAGGGGACAGCAGCTCCTGGAAGTTCTGGGTGTTCCTGGAAACAGTGACTTGTCAATCAGACGTTAGGGCAAAGGAGTACCTACCTTTCCCTGCCCGCCCCTCACCTGGCCCTGAGTGCCCGCAGCCACTGAGTCCTGCCTCGGTGCGCTTGTTCCAGCCGCTCCCGCAAGATGTGTCTCCAACCTGCCGCATCCTCCTAGGTGGCAAAAGCTCTGAGCCCGCAGTTCCGCCAGCAGGGTGCAGCCCGGCTCCCGCCCTTCTCCCGCTGAGCACCTTTGGAAGCCGCGGACTCCTGCCCTCCCCTCCAGGGGCAGAGACGTGGTGGCCTTTCCCCAGGTTCTTGCCTGTGGTGCCATCTGAGCCACCCTGGGAGGGAACCCCAGCGGGTGAACCCGACGATGGTGGTTCCCGAGGATGCGGAGTCGTTCCAGGACCTGGGGAGGCTGCAGTCAGCCGGGCTCCGCCTCGGCGACCCTCCCACCGCCTCCACCGCCGGCAGGTCGGGCCCTGGGACGCACCCGCAGCCGCTGCTGCTCGCGATCCCGCCGACGCCTCTCCTTGGCCGCGCGGTGCAGCTCCAGCAGCCGCTGCAGAGCCTCCTGCTCCTCGAGGGCCAGTGCATCCTGCCTACTCCCGGGCTCGGGCCACGCGGCCTTCGAGGATTTGGGATCCCTAGGGCCTCTCTGCTCCCAGACTGCACCAGGGAGCCTCGGCTGGGGTTCCTGCGCCCCAGGGGCCGGTATCCCACCTCCTGGGCCTCGGAGCACTGGCGGGGCGGGAGACATCGAGGCAGGGGGAGGAGCCCACGCCTCTTCCTGCATGGCCACCGCCTGTGTCAGCTGGGTGCTACCACCTGGGGGTCCTGGTATCCCCGTTTCCACACGCTGGAGGATCGGTTTTCCTGGGGGCCTGCAGAAGTCCCTGGAATGGCCCTGAGGGTCACCCTCTTCCTGGCGCCATGCTGTCGCTTCTCCCTGAGCTTCCCCGCAGACTTCTGAATCACTGCCTTCCCCAAACTGAAGGGTTTTGAATTCCTGGCCCTGCTGAGTCTGCTTCCTTTCTCTTTGACCCTGAGGAGCCCCTTTGTCTTGTCCCCGAATTGACTCTCCGTTATAACCCCGAGGCGACTGCCCATGCTGACCCTGTGGTGTCTTCCCCGGGTGACCCCGAGGAGAGTGGGTCAGCAGTGTCTGGGATTCTGCTCTCTCAGGGCTCAGGCCAGCGCCGAGCCCCTTGGAGGGATCTTGGGATGCTGACAAGCCCTGGGAAGCCGGGTCAGAGGGCTCTGGGGCTTCCTGGCCTAGCTTTCCCTCCTGTGGGCTTCTGAGAGTCTGTCCACAGGAACTCGGAACATTTGGCTCTTCCCGACTCCTTTCTTCCATCTTGCCTGGGTCCTGGGAAGGAAAAACATTTTGGGCCCAAAAAGTTTGTGCTCTCCCCCCCGTCCCCCCGCCCCCGCATTCCATCTCACATCACTATCACCACCACTACCCACCCACCCACTCTTGTCGATCCCGAGTGCGCTGAACCCATTTGTGTGGTATAGGGTCTCAGCAACAGCCCCTCCTTCCACCTGGCTGTGGGAGGCAGCCCCACCTCACCTCAACAGCCTTCGCCCTGGCAGACTCCACCCTTGTCGCCCCTAGAGAGGGCCCTCGCCCGTGACCCTCTGACCTTTTCACCTTAAGTTCTGAGTTTCCAGGTTCCTTGAAGCTGCTGCCGGGATGTAAGCAACCTAGGGTGAAAAGCCAGACATTGACTAATGTCTACCGCCGTCTAGCCTCTTACACCCATTCCACCTGAATTAGAATGAAGATGGCGGGGGTGGGCGGGCCCTGGGTGGGCGGGCCCTATGCAGAGGTGAGGGAGGAGTCCCAAGGGTGGTGCTTCACAATTCAGACACCTTCATTCTCACTGCCTACCATGCACTACCTACCATGTGTTACCTGTGTCTGCAAACAGCCAACCCCAACGTCCTCATCTTTTTAGCTCAGAGACCGCACACTTCCTCCCCCCAGAACATCACTAGAAGGGCCCCTTGCTGAGGTCCTCTTAGGACCCCCACTTTGTCCCGGCATGCTGGTTCAGGCCCACAGAAGAGCCCCACTGTGTGCGCCATACTTTCCCTGTTACGAAGGAAAATCCTACTTCGCTTTTTGTTTCTGGCAATAAAATCAAAGGAAATTCACGATGAAATTTTAAACCAGAGCCTGGCTTAAAAACTGCCAAGTCTTCATAATTAACAAAAGAAATCTAAAAAGAGGGAAGCGCTGTTGCTGCTCCCTGCAGCTGTGGGAAAGAGAGCCACTCCGCAGCCACAGAGCCGGTTCCAGGGTCCGCACTTCATAGTTCCTAAATCGAGCTCCTTTGCAAGACTGGTCCATCTTTCTCTTGCAAGGAAAACAGAACATTCACAACAGTAACCACAGGGGTGTGTTTTCTATGGAAACACATGCGGCTTCAAAGGGCTTTTTGAACAAAGGCGTCGTCTAAGATTCTTGGCTTTAGAAATCATTGCCAAAAAGTGGGAAACAGCCTAATACCCTCTTCCTTCTGAGCTGTGGTCTTAAAGGGCCCCCCACCAAGGTAATATAGTGTAGAAAGCACCCCTCCAGGTAATATAGTGATAGAGCACCCCCAGGAAATATAATGTAGAGAGCCCCTTCAGGTAATATGTTGTAGAGAGACCCCGCCCAGGTAATATAGTGTAGAGAGCCCTCCAGGTAATATAGTGATAGAGAGCCCCCCCAAGTAATATAGTGTAGAGTACCCCCCAGATAATATAGTGTAGAGAGCACCCCAGGTAACATAGTGTAGAGAGCCCCCCCAATACAGTATAGAGAGGCCCCCAGGTAATATAGTGTAGAGAGCACTGCCCCCTCTAGGTAATATAGTGTAAGAACACCCCCACCCCAGCAATACGGTGTAATTTGTATCCCTATCTTTCCAAGAGACAACATACTTGTAAAAACTCTGTCAATCAAAAAAAAGGACCATTATCACTCTTCCAAGTGATAAGAGTTGGAAGGATATAGCTTTGACAGATGTATTGTTTGATGCATAATTTGAGAATCAATCAAGTCAATAGGCTCAGGGAGGGGAGGCCAGGCCATCCGTCCCACCGAGTCCTATCTGCCTACTTTATGCCTTATTCTCTCATAAGGTTGTGATCTCAAAGACTAGCCCAAGTCCTCCTGTGTCTCTGTGTGGCCCCTGTGCTCGGCATAAGGGCAGCAATGAATAGCCTTGGATTGCTATCTGTTCCTTCCAGCTTCCCTGTTCCTTCAACTGCTGGTTCTTCCTGCCTGAGCCCCAATTCAATTCAGAATCTTACTGAACACAGTGCCTGAACAGCTGGTGCCAACTGGGAAATTGGAAATAAAACCTACTTCAGTTGAGCATGGTGGTGCCCCCTTAATCCTAGCACTTGTGAGGCTGAGGCAGGAGGACTGTGAATTCAAGATCAGCCTAGGCTGTACAGCAAGTTCCATGTTAAGATGGCCTCTACAAAGCTGGGCAGTGGTGGCGCATGCCTTTAGTCCCAGCACTTGGACGGCAAAAGCCGGCAGATCACTGAGTTCGAGGCTAGCCTGGTCTACAGAGTGAGTTCCAGGACAGCCAAGGCTACACAGTGAAACCCTGTCTTGCGGGGGGACTGCCGGGGGGGTGGGTGGTGGTGGTGGTGGTGGTGGTGGTGGTGGTAGTGGTGGTGGTAAGAACAGCAAAACAAACTAAAAAGATAGCCTATACAGCAATACCCTGTCTCAAAAAACAACAAAATAAAATAAAAATAAATTAAAATACTATTTGCCATCCCCAGCTGACTTGACACTCAGTGAAAAGGATGAGATGAAGAATGACCTGGGATGAGGCTGTCCCTGCCTCCCAGTCTAGTCTGCCTTACCAGCTCCAGGAGTGCCAGCTCCCTTGGCTTCTTGACACACGCCTGTTGGTGTACCAGGCTCCATGTCTGCAGGCATAATGGGGCCCTCCAGTCTTGGGTCTGCATGGTTCCCGGCTTCCTCCAGATCTGAGGCACCCGAAGGATCTGTGGCCTGCCTCCTGCAGGAGTTCAGCAGCTGCAGTGGGGAGCAGCCGGACTTCCAGACTCCCTGGACCCTTCAGGCTGCCCAGTAACTCAACTCCGAATCTTAAGCCCTGCACCCAGGGGATCCGAGGAGCTGCATTGCCCTTCCAGGGACTTGAGTGTGGGGCAGCTGTGGGTACAACTGAGCAAGGGTCTAGAAGGAAGTGGAGGCAGGAGGAGGGACCCTAGGAGGACTGTGACAGGAGGTGGGTTCTCTGTCACTATGAGGCAGTACTGAGAAAGCAGAGTCCCCAGGGAACAAGACTCACCCCTTTAGGAGTTGATGGCTGTCACTCAGGGCTTCCCCAGCCGGGGGTGGAGGCTGCAGCTTGGAACTCTGCAAGGATTAAGTGAGCCCAGACCCACAGGGTAGCATTCCCCGAGTGTGGAAGGAAGCTTCCAGCAGGCCCTCATGTCTCCTGCCTCCTAGCATTCATGTCCTTGGTGACACCTCTTCCTCAAGGCTGGCTAAATTCTTCCCTAGTGGTCACTACTAACAAACCTTTTGTTACCACAGAGGATGCCTCAGCCCTGAGAAGCCACTAGCTTGACCTCAGTGACAGGACTGTGATGCCTTCCCCAGCTCTCAGCTCTGTTTTGGGGCTGGTCACCTATCCAAAGGATCAGCCCAACTTGAGCCCTGCACGGGGGAGCCCATGGCTAAGGATACTCAGCATCTCTGTCTCAGGGCCATGCTGGGCGCCAGTGCCTCTGCCCTCCTGGACCCGCAGGTGGCGCCCTTCCCTCTGGGGCCACATGGAAAGGCTTTGCATATGGCCCCCAGTAAATTTCACCAGCTGCTTGGTAACGGTGCGGTCTTCGAGTCAGGAGAACGTGGTGTTTGTTGGGTATGGTAGGAACCCTTTTGTTCCAATGAGTCCAATGGTTCTCCCAATGGCCTTTGAAGAAAGATCTAGAAGGATCTATCATCACCCACATTTATAGCTGAGGCACTGGAAGCTTGAAGTCCACAGGAAACCACAAAGCAGAAATTTAAACCTAGGCCTGTAAGTCTTCAAAGCCCATGCATCTCCCACTTCCCCTCACTCTTGAACACCTCAGTGTCACATGGTACCCCTACTCACCCCACTCACCAGCTGCTCGGCGTCCCCATGGAGATTCCTGCCCCAGGACTGGCTGCACTGTTTCCATGCATGCTGAGTCTGGTCCCTCTGGCCGCAGAACCTAGCCCAGGGGGGCCAGAAGAGGCCCAGCCCAAGCCCAGTCAGCAGCTCCAAGTCCCAGAGAAGCTGCAGGACAATGGAAAGCCAGGAAATGGGGGATCCACTCTGCCTTCTGCATCTGCCTTCCCCATGTGCCAGCCCCTACCTTCTCCTGGGCCCGTAGGCTCTGCTCCATCTCCAGCAGTATCATGGGTAGCTCCAGTCCTGGGGGACAGTCCCGGCCCTCATGAACCTGGAGTAGGGATCAAGGATGGAGTCAGGCCTCTGTCTGCTTGTCCCTTGGAGGCAGCCTGTGGCCTTCTGTACCTGCTGTAACGCAGTTTGGAGCTGGCCTAGACCTGCAGGGCGCTGGAAGAGAACTTGGTACAGGGTCAAGGCTTGCTTGGGGCTGCAGGGGAGTCTTGGGCCCCCAGGAGTGGTTGCCTGTGCCATGGGGAAGAGAACAGGACAAATGTCCTCTCCCTCCTCCATATCTGTATCTGCCACAAAGGCCTCGAGAGGTGGGGGGACAAGGGACAAGGAACAGAAGCTGGGATCTCAATAATGCAGGGCCCTGACACCTGAGCAGGCCAGGCTGTGCAGGAGCCTCCCGGAGACACGGGGCTCACTCTGGGATAGGTTGCTGGGACTAGAGGTGGAATGCAGAACATGACACCAGAGACCTCAGGACATGTGCCTGTTTGCAACCCTAATGAATATTTGTCTTACATATGCATCGTTACAGCTGTATTTATATTGCTGTGATAAAATGGCCTGACTAAAAGCAACTTAGGGGGGCTGCAGACATGACTGGGCAGCTAAGAGCACTTGCTGTCCTTACAGAGGACTCAGGTCAGGCCCCCAGCGTCCACATGTCAGCTCACAGCCATCTGCAAAACCAATCCCAAACCCTCCTTCACCCTCTTCTGGTCTCTGTGGGCACCAGGCACACACGTAGCGCCCTTATAAGCATGCAGGCAAACACATACACGCAAAATAAAAATAAATGCATCTTAAAAAAACAATTTCGGGGAGAAAGGTGACAGGTTCCAGCCCATCACTGTGGGGAGGTCACAATGACAGGAGATGTCTAGTCACATCACATCTGTAGTCAAGAGCAGAGAAGAGAAATACCAGTGCTTAGTACTCAGCTTTCTCTACCTTTATAGTCCAGGGCCTCAAACCAGGGAACAATGCGATCCACTTTCAGACTGTGTCTTCCTACAGCAGTTATAACAATCAAGACAGTACCCTACAGACGTGCCCACAGGGCAGCCTGATCAAGACAGTACCCCACAGACGTGCCCACAGGGCAGCCTGATCAAGACAGTACCCCACAGACGTGCCCACAGGGCAGCCTGATCAAGACAGTACCCCACAGACGTGCCCACAGGGCAGCCTGATCAAGACAGTACCCCACAGACGTGCCCACAGGGCAGCCTGATCAAGACAGTACCCCACAGACGTGCCCACAGGGCAGCCTGATCAAGACAACCCCTCATTTCGGTGCCCTTCCCAGCTGATTGTAGGTTGTGTTGAGAATTAGAATTAATCATCACGTGAATACATCCCTGCTTACAAGAATTTTCCAAGTGTGTCATATGGTCTCCAATATACTACGTATGGGTCATGGTGACAGCGGCAGCTCCTGGCAGCCTAACATGTGTCAGGACCCACACACCTCTGCATGTGACTCCTTCTCACAGCCCATGCTATGCTCATCCTTATTCACACATCGTGAGCCTGGTTCCATTAGATAATTCACAGTAATGTGTCCCTCACTTGGAGGGACATGACAAACACACTCTGGGAAAGCATGGTCCAGGGAAAGCAGTAAGAGGTGAGTGTGGGCAGAGGGAGTCCAGCAATAGTACAGCCTCTGCCCATCTGCTCAACGTTGTTCGGGGTCATCCCATCCATTCTTCTTCCTTGCAAGATACATGCTGTTGCTATACTCATGTGACATAGGCAAACTATAGTAAGAAAAAGGACCAAATGCAGACGGAAGGTCTACTCTACACTTGGCATGTCAGCTATCTCCCAAAGACCCATGTGTCAGAGGCTTGGTCCCCAGGCTGGCACTGTTGGGAGATGCTGTGGTCTTTTAAAGGATGAAGTATTGTAGACAATCCTTAGGTCATTGGCAATTGAAGTCTACTTTGGGACCCCTGCCTGTCTTGTCTTTGTTTCCTGGCTCATGATGTAAGAGGTTTGCTCCGATGACTAATCCCTGTTCTTGCCATCTGCCGCCCTTGCCAAAGGCCTAAAGCAACAGAGCAAGCCGGTCTTGGATGGGAGCCTCCAGAACTGTGAGCCAAAAGAAGCCTTTTCATTTATAAATTAAATGCTTTGGGCATTTCATTCTAATAATGGAAAGCGGACTAAGGGAGCCTGGGATCTTGACAGTCTGTGTTGTCCTGAGCAGCATGGCTTGCTTGCCGCCTCGCCAAGCCTGCCGGGGCAAACTCTTCTCTCTGGCCCCCAAATGAAAATGGCCTCTCTCTACAAAAGGCTGAGCTGGAAGGGTGGGTTGGGCTCCAGTTCAACTTAGTACCCTGCTGCCTAAGTAAGTAATGAAGGGCTTGGCTGCTTCCTTTCCTGGGACATTGAGCCCTCACTTACCTCAGAATATTAGAGCCATTAGTGACAGTAGACTCCCCTGGTCTTAGAACCTAAGATTCTCAAAACTCTTAAGGTCACACAGCTCATATATGGCATTCTGGACTATTTCTATGTCAAAACCCGGGTTCCCTCCCCTACAATGACATCTTGGCGAGCTGTTTTGTTTGTTTGTGTTTTGTTTTTGTTTTTGTTTTTTTGTTTTTCAAGACAAAGTTTCTCTGTGCAACAGCCCTAGCTGTCCTGGAACTAGCTCTGTAGCCCAGGCTGGCCTCAAACTCACAGAGATCCGCCTGCCTCTGCCTCCCAAGTGCTGGGATTAAAGGCGTGCGCCACCACCGCCTGGCTTGGCAAGCTGTTTTTACTGTCTACATGTCCCCCCGATGCTGTGACCGTGAACACAGATGCGCATGCACATGGCTTGTGTCTAAGGGTACTCATGTATATGCACAAATGTACATGAAGCTCTACTTCTATTATCTCTCTCTCCCTAGGCATGGAGACCAGTGTCATCAGTTCTTAGTGTGACCAAGGAGATATTGAAGCATCCAGTACTACCAAACCCAGAAGAAACAGGAAGGCGAGACATGGTTTCTGCCTCTTCTCAGTGGCTCTTCAGCCTATGCAAGGTCCCACAAGGATCCACAGAGGGTCTCACGTAAGAGTCACAGGTGGTGCTGGTGCACACCTTTAATCCCAGCACTCAGGAGGCAGAGGCAGGCAAATCTTTGAGTTCGAGGCCAGCCTGGTCTACAGAGTGGGTTCAGGAGAGCCAGGGCTACACAGAGAAACCCTGTCTCAGAAAAAAAAAAAAAAGAGTATCAGCCATGCCTACCACACAGACTAGGAGCAGGGCAGGGACCAAGGCACTTGGGTCACTTTTTCCGTTTCAAAGTTTCCCAGACAGCACCGGGAAGTGGCTAGTTGGGGCAGCCCAGGGACACAGGCTTAAGGATGACTCTGATCACTGGGCCCCACATTTCAAGCAACCCAGCCAACACACGAGTGCCATGAAGAAATACACACGCAAGGAAGTCATGGACAAGTGTATAGAGTTTATTCTTGTGTTTTGACACTATGGATGTCTGGAGGACAGGCCCGGGATCCCATTGTCTGAGCAGGGCACTGTCTCTACAGCTGTGGCCTGGAGGTTGCTGCTCACCAAGGGGTGACCTCTGACCAGATAAGTCCTGGCTGAGGGTATTCTTAACTCAGGGTGGAACCAGGGCTGCTCCTGACCGGGACTGGACAGCGTGTGAGTTAGTTGCCAGTAAGCAGGACTGGCGGGCAGGCCTCAGGTGGGATGCAGTGGCCTTCATGCTCCACCAGGCCTGCAGGGCACTGGCAGCCTGGAACACAGGGCCTGACACAGTGAGCTGCCAGCTCCCCTAGGGGTATGTGCTGGTTGAAACAGGTACGGGGACAAGGCGGTCCACACTCATCAAACACAAAGCCACGGTCCGTGGGGCAGCCCACCACTGCAGGCAGAGGAAAGCCGTGTCACAGAGGTCCCCCAGCATCTCTCTGCTTGTTATGACACACTTGTGTTATGTCTCCCTCTGCCCTCCCTGCCCAGACTTGAGTCTGTTGGACTACCCCTCCTTTATGTACGGGGCCCTCATTCAACGCAAACGTGTATCACCCCCTTACCACAGAGTGTAGGGCCCCTCCAAACAGGAGTCACCCCAGCCTGGCGACAGTGGCTAGCGTAGGCTTCCAGGGCATCACAGAGACAGGCATCAGCTGAGGAGCCTGGTCCACAAGCACATAGGTCATAGACACAGGCAGCAAAGAAGGGTTCTGGTGGCACCACAGCATGGCAGTGACTGAACGGCGAGGTCTTCAGGAGCCCACACCGGGCATTGGCCTCACGCCTGGTACGGTAGCCTGCTGCCCGACATGGGTCCACCTCTCGGCCTGCAGAACAGGGCCGGCCAGGACCCAGCCCCTCGGGGATCTACATGGAGAGAGCAGTCACGATATGAAAGCATCACTGACAAAAATCTCCCTTCCAGCAGGGCATGTCATGCTCCTGTAAACCAATTCTTACCCACAACCTTAAATGGAACTCACTGGACAGAGAAAAATAATCAAAAAGACAAGAAAGTGGAAGTGGGGGGCCAGCTGGGAGGAGGAGGGGATTAGTAGGAATAGGGGAGACCAAGAGAGGGTGATGGGGGAGGTCATCAAGATACAGTATGTACATGTATGAAAATGTCAAAACGAAACACATTACTATGTATAATTAATATAGGCTAATATATTAATATATGCTAATATATTAATATATGCTAATAAAATTTGTTTTTGTTTTTTCAAGACAGGGTTTCTCTGTGTAGTTTTGGTGCCTGTCCTGGATCTCACTCTGTAGACCAGCCTGGTCTCAAACTCACAGAGATTAGCCTGGCTCTGCCTCCTGAGCGCTGGGATCAAAGGTGTGCACCAACACTCCCCGGCTGAAAACTGTTTTTTTAAAGAGCAATGCATAGTGGTACACACCCATGATCCCGGCACTAGAAGGCTGGGGAAGAAGGATCCTGGGCTAGACAGAAAGGCCCAGGCCAACCTGGACAACAGAGTGAGACTCTGTATCAAACAAGAAAAGGGGGCTGGAGAGATGGCTCAGCCCTTAAAGGCTAGGCTCACAACTAAAAATGTAAGAGTTCGGTTCCCAGCACCCATGGCTGTCTCTCCAGCCAACACACACACACACACACACACACACACACACACACACACAAAAGAAAGAAAAAAGCAAATAAGTCAAAGCTCTCCCTTCAAGAGTGCTTGTCTAGCCCACACAAAGCCCTGAGTTTGATACTCTGCCCCCCACAAAAACCCCGTAATGGTGGTGCATGCCTGTAATCTCAGTACTCAGGAGACAGAGGCAGGAGGATTAGTTACATGGAGAGTCGTAGTTCAAGACTATATAGAGTTCAAGGACAGACTGGGTCACCTGAGACCCTTTCTCAAAACAAAACAGAAAGTCAAAAGTGTCCATCGCTCAGGTCTGTAATCCCGGACAACGGAGGCTGGATAAGAGGGTCACAGGCTGGAGCCCAGAATGGGCTCCCTAGCAAGACCCCGAATCAAAAGCAAAAATACAACCAAAAGGCAAAGAAAAGTGTTTGCCGTCTCTTTTTTGAGATGAGCTAAGACTAGAGTAGGTAGATGACTTGTTCAAGGTCACACAGCCAGTGAGTGAGAGTGGGCTTTAGGAATTCAGGTGATGAGGCTTCCAACAGACCATCCTACCTCCGCTATTAATCAAGACAGGCTTTAAGCCTCCAGCTGCCATGAAAACCCCAAAAATCTACCTTGGGTCCCTTTTCACAGCAAGGCCTGTGCCCAGTTCCTCTAGCCTGCCCCAGCTCCTTGCTCCCAAGTCACTTACCTTCCAGCTGTTCCCAAATGCAGCCTCTGTGGGCAGGAGCCTCCCATCTGGAGCCTGCAGATCATCCTGGGCAAAGCCATTGAAGTTCCCACAGAGACCACAAGTCCGACCCCGGTAGGAGCTGGGAACTCTGACCTCCACCTGGGACTGCCCGTCCCACAGCACCTGCGCGAGAGGCCTGGGGCTAGGAGAGGGGAAGGAGAGAGACCCCAAGGAGCTCATGTGTTAATTTGGTAGTCCCCCTGCTGCGGGATGGACAGGTGCACAGTGCACACTGGCGGACCACTTCCCTAGCCCGTACACCTCGCTATGCAGCCTGGCCAAACACTGATGGTAGAAAGAGCTGCCGACTACCCCCAGGCGTCTTTCCACTGGGTTTCAGGCAGAGCACAACCCACTTCCTGAGAATCACCGTCGTGTGGCCCTAAGGAAGGTACAATGCAGTCAGAGTCTGGATCGCGTGCACACAAGCATGGGTTTGTAAGTTACGACTCTGGCTGGAAGCAGAGAACAAGTCACCTTTCCAGAGACCACCTAAAGCACCTCACTTGACAGCCTCCCCATTCCTACCAACTCCCCACTTTACAGACAAGCAAACTGAGGCCCAGAGTCTCAGGATATGGATGGCGGAGCCAAGAGTGAAAACAGGCTAGCGACAGGGCTTTTTGAGGATGTAGCTGCGTTCTCTCACTTCTGCTTCCTCCTTCCACCCGGCAGGAGGGAGCAGGCACCTGTCTTTGTAGTTACGGAAGCATAGGCTCCCAGGCCTACCCAGCTTTGCCCTCTGGCCACACCTGAAGCCCAGGCTGGGCATGCAGGATCACAGTGTGCCCACGAAGCTCAATGTACAGCAGAGGCTCCTGAAGGAAGGGCAAGGTCACCGTGTGCTGGTTCACCTGGAAAAGAGAGGGAGGAGGGAGGGGCCATGTTGGGCCAGACAGGTGAACTGTGCAGGACTGACCTTCCCTGGGTCCTTGGCTCACCATGACTGTCCTGCCCTGCAGCAGCCTCACAGCCACGGTTCCCAACAGCACCGCTACCTCTTGGGTCCAGGCCACACCCCTCCGGCCCCGGTCATCATTAGTCACGTGCACACTATGGGGAGGAAGGGCCCGGGTGCCTGAGGTCAGAGGCGCCAGGTTTAGGTGTCAGGGGGAAGGGAGAAGGGTGCATACCTGAAGTCCTCGCCTTGGCAGTCCTTGGCCAGCACGTAACTGCAGCTGCCCTGGAAGTGCAGCAGGCGGCCATCGAAGGTGCGGTAATGGGGGTCTCCGAAGGCCATGCAGGAAGCCGGCCGGGGCAAACAGCGGGGACAGCAGCTGCCGGGACTCAGGGCAGGAGCCTCGTCCTGGTCTCAGACCCAAACACGGTCAATCACAGGACACTCCCTTGTCAAGTCTCAGCTGGCTCTCATAGAAGTCTGAGCATCCGCCTATCTTCTCTCTGACCCCCTTGAACCCAGGTTCACTGAGAGCGGGTCAGGGCACCCTCTGGTGGTCACTCCCGGAACAGCACCATCCCTGACTCCACTAACCGCTGATGAATGGCAACAGAAGCCCAAGCCCCGTCTCATGGCTCTGGGATAGCAGGGCCCTGAGCACCGGGCTCCTACCACCTTGGATCAAGACACTCACCCGGCCACACGCGAGCTTACTGCAGCGCTGGCTCTGGCAGCGCACAGTGCCAGCCAAGCAGGAGCAGCTGGTGCAGGCGTCCACGGCCCAGTGTTCCCCAGAGGCTACCTGGCGGCCCTGATGCATGCATGACTGGGTAGGAGCTGAGAGGAAAAGAGACAGACAGGGTCAGTGCCCTACTCAAACACTTCAGTACTGATGGAAGGACAGCCACTTCTCCTTCTCAGACTGAGTGGTGGAGGAGCTCCGCAGGGGACTGGTAGATGGAGAGTTGGCAAGACCCCTGAAATATTTGCATTACCTGCACCTGTCATGTGACCTGGAGACAAGTGGGTGTGTAAAAGGAGCAGGGTCCAACATCCACCAGCAAATAGGGGCCATGAGAGTGATAGACACATTGTTGTGCTGGACAAGGAGTGAGGCCTGGGCGTCATTCCCACCTGCACTGTTGGGGGGTGTTCTTGTGGGGCAGACAGAAGGGATCAGCTGTCACCCTTCCTGTCCTCATCACAGCAGGTGCCAACTTTAGGCACCCCAGCCAGCCCTAAGGACAGGAGCGCTCTTGGCACCCCTTGAGGTGACACTCCAAATGGCCCCGCTGAAGACAGGTACTATTGTTTAGGGATTTCCTGCAGGAACCAAGGTTGCAATTTCCGTGGGCCTTCTGGGAGGGTCTTGGGCGGTGTCTCTTCCATCTGTCCCTTCTATCTGCCCCCAACGGTGCAGGTGGGAATGAAGCCCAGGCCTCACTCCTCCTCCAGAACAATGCAGCTGCCGCTCACGTGGCCCATGTTTGCTGGTGGGTGTTGGACCCTCCTCTCTTTACCTATCTATGTACTTGTCCCCGGGTCACATGACAGGTGCAGGCAATGCAAGTGTTGCTGGGGGTCCTGCCAGCTCTCCATCAGCCATGCTCCTGCCGGAAGCTTCCATCGCTCAGGCTAAGGAGGAAAAATGGATGCCCTTCCAGGGCACTCTCCCTTCTCAGAACTCATTGTCCCATTCCACAAGCACCCTGAGGATGTTAACCTCCTCAGCAAGCCTGCTAAGTCTGGTGGGTATTAGGCCTTGCCCTCAGGCTGGTTGGTTATGGAGTCCTGGAGACCCAAAATGCCAGTCCCTGGAACCCTCTACTGGGCCAGCTCCCAACTGCCAAGTGCAATGCACTTGAGACCCTCATGGGTCTCCCCCAGTGGATAGTCCCTCCATTTCTACAAAAGGATGAAAGCTGCAGTCTGCCTTCAGCCCTCAGGGTACCCACACATGCCAAGCCTTCCCTCCTCCATCCCCAGGCTCCTCTCTGATGGGGAGACCAAGTCTGGCCACTTACCCTTACACATGGGGCAGCAGCTGCCAGGGGGGGTGTGGTGCTCTGACAGGGAACAGCTGAGCTCAGGACAAGCCCGGTGAGTACAGAGCCACGTCAGCTCCTATTGTGGTTATGTAAACACGATATGGAGAAGACAGCCGGTCTCACGGAGGTGTGGGAGCCGAGTCGGGAGTAGGGTGTAGGCAGGAGAAGGCATTCAGGACAAACAGGCAAATGTCAGAGTGAGCAAGAGCTCAGGAGTAGCCGTGGGGAAGAGGCCAGGAGAAAGGGGGCCCTGAGAGTCCCCGCAGCAGGAGGACTCACCTGACAGCGGCAGGTGTAGCAGGGGTCTGGTGGCATCAGCTCAGTCCCCAGTAGGCCCTCTGTGCAGTTACTCAGTGCCTCTGTGAAGGCAAGAAGCCAGCGTGGGGTGAAGGGGTCAGGGGACAGAAACCGCAGTCCCAGCTCTCGCCGCACAAAGAAGTTTGGACCTCCTGGTTTTTTGTGTGTTGGTTTTTGTAGGTTAGCTCAATGAGACAGAAAGCAGAATTATTCACGAATTTGCATGTCATCCTTGCAACAGGGACCATGACAATCCCCACAGCAATGTATTTGTCATTCACCAACCCAAATTTAGTACATGTGCTGCTGAAGTAAGCAACGTTAGCCTCTTGGGAGAACTTCAACACTAAGGGGGGTAGGGCTGGAAACCGGCTCAGCGTGGCTCCTCAGCCTGGGGTCACCAAGCATGGATCACGACCAAGCTGCCTGGCCTATTCTTCTTGTTACTTCCCTTCATATAAACTGGCCAAAGGGGGAGGGAGTGAGGCATCCCAGGTTCCAGTTCTGGCTCCACACTCACTGGACAAATGCATCTACTTCTCCGAGACTCAGTTTTTTCACGTGTAAAAAGGAAATAATACCACTCTACTTGACTGGGTCACTGTGAAAATTAAACGAGATGCAGCTTATTAGAAGCACCAAGTAGTGTGTGGTATACATTAGGTGCTTAATAAAGGAGTCTTCTTCTCACCCCTTGCAATTCATCCTAGCAAGTGCTCTATGTTGGGGAAGATTATTTTAAAGTGTGTTATTTTTGTTTATGTTGTATTTGTTTAACTCTGTGAAGCTGTGTTACTGTGCCTATCTAAAACACCTGATGGTCTAATAAGGATCTGAACGGCCAATAGCAAGGTAGGAGAAAGGATAGACGGGGCTGGCAGGCAGAGAGAATTAATAGAAGGAGAAATCTGGGAGGAAAAGAAGATCTAGGAACAAGAGAGGAGAAAGAGGAGGAGGAGGAGGAGGAGGACTCCAGGGTCCAGCCACCCAGCTACACAGCAAGCCATGGAGTAAGAGTAAGATTTACAGAAGTAAGAGAATGGGAAAAGCCCAGAGGCAAAAGGTAGATGGGTTAACTTAAAGTTAAGAAAAGCTGGGTGGAAACTAAGCCAAGCTAAGACCGGGCATTAATAATTAAGAATAAGCCACCATGGGGCTGGAGAGATGGCTCAATGGTTAAGAGCACTGACTGCTCTTCCAGAGGACCCAGTTCAATCCCCAGCAACCACATGGCAGCTCACAACTGTCTGAAACTCCAGTTCCTGGAGATCTGACACTGTTATACCAATGCACATAAAATAAAGTTAATAAATTATTTAAAAAAGAAAATATTTAAAAAAAGAATAAGCCTCCGTGTGTGATTTATTTGGGAGCTGGGTAGCAGATCCCCCCAAAAAAGAGCCAAAAAACCCCAACAACAGTGCCATAAGAATATATCACCCCGATGGAAGGCCATGATGGTTTCACAACACTATGAATGTACTGAATACCCCTGAGCTGTAACTTAAACACAGCGAAGCGGTAAACTGTATGTTACCCAAGAGTTGTACGTCTTTACAATAAGGACTTGAAAAGAGGACAGAGGGGCAAGCAGTCCCCACCGGAGAATCCTGTCTGTATGTAGGAAGATGTGAGTGTGCATAGCAAAGCCCAGCCATCGTGTCCGTGGTGCTGGACTTCCGCTGACACACCCGGCTTCACAGCAGAGTTGAGATGGCTGGGTAAACGCCAAGTCTTAAATCGAGGAGACTGGTGTGCTGTTTTTCAATATTTATAATAAAAATACAACTCTCTTTGCTCCCACGTATCTTTATCAGTTCTTATTTGAAGAAAAGAAACAGAACGGCCCTCCCTGTCCCTGCTGCTGAACCATTCAACGCCCCTGTGGTCTTTGCCTTGCTGCTCCCAAAGAGCCGGCAGACAACCGCTACCCTGCAGCGCCACCTGCTGGGCAGGATGTTCCACAAACCGCACCTGGCAGCGGAGGCCAGCAGTCCCCGCCAGCTTCCCGTGCAGCTCACTTAGGAGCGGAACAGGCTTCACCACTTAGGCAAGAGCTTCCAAAACAGCACACTTGAGTCAGGAGAGGGCTGAGGTGAGGGGGGAGAGCTAGCTGGCTCTTCTAGCATGTCTCTAAGGGTGCAGTCCTGCCCTTCTGGTTTACCCCGTATCGTAGGACTCACGGGCACAGGTGGGGCAGCAGCGCTGAGGTCCAGGGGGCAGAAGCTGGCCCGGTGGGCAGCCCACCAGACTGGGGCACTGCCGCCGGCGACAGTGAAGGCTGGGAGGCCTCTCGGGCTGCAGCTACAGCAAGAATGAAGGAGCAGAGGTGAGTCCAAGGCCGTGAACTGCTGCTCCGGGACGCCAGGATCCCCGTCTGCTGCACCCTTGTCTTCGGGCACTGTGGGCATGTCACCTTGCTCTTAATCTGGAGATGATGCCTCTTACTTTTTCAATTGACTGGGGCCTCAACCATCATATGACCTTTAACCCTTTGGCGTTCTTCATACTATTCCCCCCGCCCCCCGCGTGCCTGTCTCCTAACTAATGACACCATTCATCATCTCTTGATTTTGATGATAGGGTCTCATGTAGCCCAGGGTGGCCTCAAACTTGACATGTACCCAACGCTGGCTTTGAATTCCTGGTCCCCCTGCCTCTACCTCCCCAGTGCTAGGATTACTGACATATGCCACCCTACCCTGTTTATGTGGTGCTTAGGATTGAACCCAGGGCTTTGGGCATACCAGGCAAGCACTTTACCAACTGAACTACATCCCCAGCCCTCACCATTACTTTTAAAGTAGAATGTAGACACTCTGCATGTGGGTTGCTCACTACCCCTGAGCACCACCACCCCAAAGACCAGCCAGGGGGTCCATTGACAGCCTCCCCATTCTGACCTTGTGCTCTATCTAAATCCAGACCTGGTCCCACTGGCCAAGCTCAGCCTGAGTCCTGAGACCATGATCCCCATGGTCATGCTCCATGAAGTGGCCAGCCCCAAACTCTGCCCTCTCCTACCTCACAGATGCACACTTCGCAGGGGTCTGCTCCAGGCTGGAAGCTCTCCCCAGGCTCATACTTCCGGCCCTCATGCTCACAGCCTTGAGGTGAGATGAGAACACTGGAGAAGGAGGAACCTTCGGGCTGGCACCAATGCCAGGTGGGGGCTCCTCCACCCTCCAGCTCCCGTCCCCCACCCTGGGGCTGAGGAGTGTACAAGAATGAAGGCTACTTCTCCTGGAGCCCCCCCCATCACCCACCCCTGCCACCGAGCCCAGCGCAAAAGCAGGAAGGTGCTCACCCCTGCCCAGGGCTCCCTCCCACGCCAGGTTCTAAGTACCAGAACAGCGAGGACAGCAGTCACTGGGCCCCTGCTGGGGCCGGATGCAGGCGCCGACACACTGGACTTGGGCACAGGTGATGACGCCCTTGTGGCACACGCAGGTGGAGCAGGGGCTGTTGGCAGGCACCCAGCTACTACCCTCAGGGTGTTCCTCCCCGTGAGCGAGGCAGCCTGGGTCCCAGGCAGGCAGGTATAAGCTTTGAGTCTGAGATCTGGACATCTGAACCCCCCAATCCCACCTGCGGTCAGCAAGACATGGGGGCACCAGGATAGGGGTGTGGCATGGATATGGCAGGGATGTGGCATGGATTTGGACTAGGGCAGAACTCATGTCTGTGGGGGTGTAGGGAGCCATTTGCTTGTTTGATCAAGCTGCAAGCAGCAGGCGCTGCTGATGGAAGTCCATTGAGCAACGCTGGTATGCAGCAGACATTTAATAGATGCACATGGCATAAACTGCTCTGTTACTACCCATGCACCCCAGGCAGCTCTCCAAGCCTCAGTCTTCTCCTGTATCCAGTGGGGATTGTATCTGTCCTGTCTTGTTTACAAGGCAAGGTGGTTTCTGGGTTACACAGGGTGGGGTGAGGGGCAGCAGACTGGCTGAGAAAGCCTGAGATTCTGGAGCCAGAGGCCAGAATGAACATCTTGACCTTGCTACCCACAAGCTGAGTGGCCAGGAAAATTATGTTACCTCCTTGTGTCTCCTTTTCTCATCTTTAAAAAGTGGGAAGAAGAGGACCAGGGTGATGGCTTAGCCAATAAACGCACTTGCCACCAAGCTGGACAACCTGAGTTGGATCCCTGGGGCCCACATGGTAAAGGGAGGAAAGGACGCCCGTAAAGTGTCCTCTGATCCCCACATGCAGACTGTGATGTGCTCCCCAACCAAAATCAATGAATAAATGTTATAAAAAAAATGAGAGTGAGGGCAACATATCTAACTAAGATCATTCTGCTCTTAAAATGAGGTGTGTGGGGGCTGCAGTGGTGGCTCAGTGGTTAAGAGCACCAACTGCTCTACCAGAGGACCCGGGTTCAATTCCCAGCACCCACATGGCAGCTCACAACTGTCTGCAACTCTAAGATCTGACACCCTCACACAGACAGACATGCATACACCAATGCACATAAAATAAAGATAAATAAATTGTTAAAAAAATGAAGTGTGTGGGGGTGTCTGGTACACTGTATATACAGTTCCAATAAGTGTTATTAATCATGGTTATTATTACTACTGAAATAGGGAGAGAGACCGCATTGAGAGGAATCTAGCGAGCCTACTAAGGGCATGTTGATCTGGGAAGAGAAAGGCTGAAGGTGGATTAAGGGGACAGCCAAGAACTGAGGCATGGGAGGGGTAAAGGGGAGGTTATAAGGTCAGGGGCTGAAGTGTGGGTACGAGGTTGGGTACCTGTGCATCGAGGACAACAGCTCCCTGGCTCTGTGACCTGAAGCACGCAGGGCAGGGACGGGCACTGAAGCCTCATACAGCTGACCTGGCCAGCCTGCAGACAGGAGATGCAGGTCGGGGGCTTGCCATGGAGGCTTGGACCCAGAAGCACGGGGCCATCCTTGCTCAGCCTTGTTACTACATACCCAACAGCGGCAGCGCTCACAGCTGCCCTCCGGTCCCTCAAACTCCTCTCCATCTTGGTGCTCCCGGCCCTGAGAGACGCAGCCTATGGGAGACACACTTTCTGTGGGGTGGGGGTCTGTGCCACCCTGGCCTACCTCAGACCTGGCAGAAGGAGAAGGGAGTTAGAGGGCACAGGTGCCAGGCACACAGAAAGGTAGAGGCAAACTATGCTCACTGCGGCAAACAGGGCAGAAGCAGGGGCCTGGGGAGGGGTGGGTGCAGAGAGCCAGAGGACATGGTTTCTTCTGACAGCTTACAGAACCTTCCTGGGGGAGAGAGCACACTGTTACTTGGACTTCCCTGTCACCTTCCAACCAGGCTGCACTACCAGCTTGGCAGGTACCCTACTGAGCTTATAAGGCCCGAGCCCCTCTTCCAGAGAGACCTGACCCCACCCTTGTCTTATCAGATATCACAAGCAAAATATGTCTGTTGCAACCTAGGTGCAGACCACTCCTTCCAGGCCAGAGAGGAAGGTAAGGAATGAGAAGAGGCCAAGACCCCAAAGAGTCACCTCACCTGGCAGGTGCAGAGGGAGCAGGCGGGGTCAAGAGGATCAGGAAGCGTCTCTCCAAGGGCAGCAGTGACCCCATGGTACAGGCATCCTGGCAGAGTGGGAATGTGATAGGTAGGCCACTGTCAACAGAGCCCGCCCCTGTCACATGCATGAACACACACACACACACACACACACACACACACACACACACACGTACGCACGCACACACGCACGCGCGCACACACACACACAGCTGAGCTAGAGCTAGTGTAGTGGAGAGGGGCAGGGAAGGGGGGTGTGAGGACAGCTATCATCAGGGCTGCAGGATTTTGCACAGAGATTTGCAGGCATGAAGAGGCTGGAAGACAGTGGATATGGAATGGAGATGAAAGACCAAAGAGAATGTCCTGCCTGCATGGGAGAGGACAGGGTGGCACAGGCAGCCTGGATATGTGGCCAGGTGGGCTGGGTCAGAGGGGCCGGGCTGGGTCAGAGGGGGTGGGCTGGGTCAGAGGGGGTGGGCTGGAAAAGCTGCCCATCCTGGTTGGTGACTCAGGAACCACTGGGCAGTTTTCAAGAGGGTGACATTTTAGGAAGGCAGCAAGACAATTTAAGAGCAGGAAAGCTTAGAACACAAGGGACCAATTGGTGAGGTGACAGAGGGGACAGAGAAGAGGGCAGATCGTGCATATGGGGATTCTGGGGGGAAGAGAATCTGTATGTGTCTATCTCAGGGCTGAGTTGACAGGGTTCAACTGTATACAAACCTCCTGTCCACTGGTGCCCAGCCCCAAGGAGCCCCAGCAGGAGTAGGGGGGAGGCAGGTGGCTCCTACCCTGGCAGGTTGGACAGCAGTGCTCAGGTCCGATGAGTGGGTGGCTGCAGGCTGGAGGCTCACAGGGCTGGCGGGTGCACGTCACAAAGCCTCCAAGGCAGGTGCACAGGTTGCAGGGGTCCCGGGGATCTGGGAACTCCTGGCTGCTCAGATAGGATACCCCCAGATACTCACAGTCTGTCAGAGAGGGAAACGGAAGAGGAAGGCCGAGAGAGGAGAGAGGAAAGCAGTCATTCCCTGAGCCCGACCTGGGACCTGGGGGTCTTGAGGTGGGGCTGGGTCCAGGCTCTAGTAAAGGAGCCTTGATGGGGTGGGGTTTGGACCTGCCAAAGGGCAGGCTTTCTCCCCTGCACCCTACAAGAAATCCTAGTGTCCATCTATATGGAAAATACACAAGGCTCCGCCAAAGGGTTAGATGCTCAGGGGGCCACTGCTAGAGGGCACAGGTCTCCCAGACTACAGCTGGGGATGGCGTGGTGTAGGTTCAAGGGAGCCCCTTTCCAATGCTCTGCAGTTTGACTAAGGAGGGGGACAGTCTGCCCTGCACTCCTCTATGACATTTTGCTTGCATCCCTTAAAAAGAAAAGGAGGGGGGCTGGAGAGATGGCTCAGAGGTTAAGCGCACTGACTGCTCTTCCAGAGGTCCTGAGTTCAATTCCCAGCAACCACATGGTGGCTCACAACCACCTCTAACGAGATCTGGTGCCCTCTTCTGGCCTGCAGGGGTATATGCAGACAGAACGCTGTGTACATGATAAATAAATAAATATTTTTTTAAAAAGAAAGAAAAGGAAAGGAGGGGGTGGCTCAGCAGTTAAGAGCACTTGTTGCTCTTGCAGAGGACCGGGGTTCAATTCCCAGCACCCACATGGTGGCTTGTGATCATCTATAACTCCAGCTCCAGGGGATCTGATGCCCTCTTCTGACTTCTGAGGGCATTAGGCACACACATGTACACAGACATACATGCAGGCAAAACACTCATACTCAAAACACGCAGACTAAAATAAATAAATCTAACAAACAAACAACAACAAAAACCTAACCAGGTGAATGGGGTACAATAACACACACCTATAATCCCAGCACCTGAAAAGTGGAGGCAGAATGATCAGGAGTTCAAGGCCACCTCAGCGACACACTGGAGGGAGGGGAGGGAGGTGGCTCAGTGGCTAAGAATAGATTTGCAGCATGAACAAGGACCTGAGTTCAGCTCCCAATACTCAAGTAAAAAGCCAAACAGGGCTGCCCACACACCTACAACCCCAGCTCAGTGGGGACAGAGACCAGAAGGCCACTGGGACTTGCTGGCTGCTCGGGGGTTCAGTAAGAGACCTTGTCCCAAACAAAAAAAGGCAGAGCATGATAGTGCTTGAACTTTACACACCCATGCACATAAAGTAGACTCATACACACAAAATTAAGAGTTTAGAATTGAATGCACGTACACACATGTCATATGACATATATATGTCATATGTGTGTATATATGTATAGATAGATATAGATGATAGATAGATAGATATTTTTTGAAACAGGATCTCATATTGCTGAGGTTGACCTTGAACTCCTGATCTTGCAGTCTAAACCACCTCAGTCCTAGAATCACATGCATGAGCCACCACACCCAGGTTGAATTTAAGAGCATTGTGCTTTAACTGTATTCATTTTAGTGGTAAAATCTCCTATTTGTGACAAGTCTAATTTTTTCATTTAATCCCTCTGGGGGCTGGTGAGGTGGCTCAGTAGGTAAGGGCTCTTTACCATGCCTGATCATCTGAGTTCAGTCCCGGGGAACTGGTGGGAAGGGAACTGATTCCTGACAGTTCGTTGCCCTCTGACCTCCAGCTACGTAACTAGTATGTTCATGTGAAGAAAGGCACTGAATAAATAAAGTTACATTTGGTAGAAGATGCTAAAATAGATTGGGTTTGCTGGTTACAGCCTGTTCCCAGCATTTGGGAGGAAGGAGGAGCGGGGGAAAAAGGTCATCCTCTGCTATATAGCAGATTGGAGGTCAACATGGGCGACATGAGACCCTGTCTCAAAAAATAAAGATTACTGAGATAATACAAGAGTGACGAGGAGTGAAGAAAACAATTTCTCTTTTTTTTTCTTTTTCTTTTTTTTTTTGGTTTTTTGAGACAGGGTTTCTCTGTGTAGCTTTGTGCCTTTCCTGGAACTCGCTTTGGAGACCAGGCTGGCCTCGAACTCACAGAGATCCGCCTGGCTCTGCCTCCCGAGTGCTGGGAATAAAGGCGTGCGCCACCACCGCCCGGCGAAAACAACTTCTTAAGGAGTTACCGGGCGGTGGTGGCGCACGCCTTTATTCCCAGCACTCGGGAGGCAGAGCCAGGCGGATCTCTGTGAGTTCGAGGCCAGCCTGGGCTACCAAGTGAGTTCCAGGAGAGGCGCAAAGCTACACAGAGAAACCCTGTCTCGAAAAACAAAAACAAAAACAAAAACAAAAAAAAAAAATTAGACCGCATGGGATTTGGTCATTTGCCCAAGGTCACACTCCTAAATTTTTTCAAGGACAGGAGAAAATGCAGACGTCAGCACAGGACTCTGTTGTTGAGTTTGTTTGTTTTCCAGATAAGGTTTCTCTGTGTCGCCCTGGCTGTTGGGAGTCTTTACGGAGACCAGGCTGGCCTCGAACTCTGAGATTCGCCTCTGCCCCCCGGGTGCTGGAACTAAAGGCGTGCACCACCACCACCACCACTGCCCCTTTTCCTTACAGTAAACACTGTTTTACTATTTTGATCTGCTTTTGAGCAGTGAAGCACAGGCTGGCTCGGTTCTCTCACCAGCACCACCCCCACCCCCCACCCCCACCCCCCGCCCCAGCAGTGTGTCCTGTTGTCCCCCAAACCCCAACTCACTGTCACAGGCAGGGCAGCAGTCTTCCCTGGTGGGGAAGGGACATGGTGGAGGGGCACAAGCCCTGGGCTCGCACTTGACGTTGCCCTCCCAGCAGAGGCACACGTGGCACGCGATGCTAGGAGATGGGAAGCGCTCCCCACTGGCAAACTCCTTCCCCTGATACAGGCAGCCTAGGGGCAAGAGCAGGGACCGGGAACCATGGTGGCTGGTGGCCAGACCCTGCTATTGGACCTGTTCCTTACATTCTTATTATAGTCCCCAGGCTGGAGAGACCGTCCGAGGAAGGAGGAGCCCTGGGAAGGCACAACTGGGGAGCAGGGGCATCAAGGCTGGGAGAGGGGTAGCGGATGGCAGAGCGGGGTAGGGGGGTGCCACCGGATCTCGAAGGGTGCCACAGAGGAGGTACCATCGCAGGAGGGGCAGCAGGGGCCCTGGCGCGGGTGGGCGCAGGGCGCGGGCGGGCAGGGCAGGCGCTGGCAGGACACCGAGCCGTCCAGGCAGAGGCAGCGGCTGCAGGGGTCTCCCGATGGGAAAAAGTGCTCCTGGTGGTGGGCGTCCCCTGACTGTGGGCAGCCAGCAGGAACATCTGCGGAGAGAGTGCGTCACGGCACGGCACGAGGGGCAGGAGGAGCCGCGGGGAGGGGCAGCCGAGGGAGCGGTGCCTACCTGGGCACTGCGGGCAGCACTCTCCCGGGGGCAGGACTGGCTCGGGACAGGACAGCGGCGGACAGCGACGCGCCAGGCACTGTACGTTGCCGCTCTGAGGATGGACAGACAGATGGAGCCAAGTCGGGCTAGTGCGAAGTGGTTCCCACCCCTTACACACCCACTTTCCTCCGGTTCACACACTCACCAGGCAGCGACACAAGCGGCAGGGGTCAGTGGGGTGAGGAAAGTCCGCTCCGTTGGGGTACTCTTTCCCACCAAAGGCACAGCCTGAAGAGGGGGCAGCTATGGGCCGCTGTCCCCAGGAGTAAGTACCTGTTGGGGAGTTCTCCACGCCAGGTGCACCCCTTCCCCAGCTGGGCCATCTCACCTTGGCAGTCTGTCCTGCAGCAGGTGCTGGGCAGAGGGTGACCACAAGGGGCGCTGGGGCAGGCACGGGGCTGGCAGCGAGCCTGGCCTTCCCGACAATGGCACTCCTGGCAGGGGTCTCTTGGATGAGGGAAGCGTTCTCCATCCACAAACACCTGTGTCTCCAAGACGCAGTCTGGGCAGCAGACAGTGGAGACAGCAGTTCCGGCAGAGGCTGACGGTGCTAGGTGCCGCCTGCAGCCTTTCCAATGCTCCCAGAACCCAGAGCCACCACATTAACTGAGAAGAGCCAGTTTGGAGGCTGTCTCCAATCAGGGAGAGGAGGAAGGAGGCTGGGGTAGCAATGCATATCTCTCTCACTGGTGTGAAAATTCTGAGTTCCTTTACTAGCAGATGGAGATGGATGTGTGTCTCTGAGGATGCTAAGGAGAGCTTACATATGTGTGTGCCTAGGATACAGATCCATGCATGCAGGGACCATGCCCCATGCACCGGAATTGCAGGAACCTGTGTGATCTGAGAGGAATGTAAGGTCCCAGAGAAGGGTGGTCTGGTAACACAAAAGGATACCAAGTCTTTATTTCCCTCCCACCCACGCCCTCTTGAGTTCCGTAGAGTTCTTAGTTGTATAGGACCAAAAGCAGTTCTGAAAGCCATAGCTTTGGGAGACAGCTGTTGGTCCCACCTGGCTGTGTGACAACGGAGTCCTTGCCCCCCGGGCCAGTCAGACACAATAAACACAAACCTGGGCACTTGGGGCAGCACTGGCCTGGTCCACTCTGGGGCTTGGCACAGGGTGTGGAAGGACAGTTGACCAAGGAACACCTCACAGTCCCATCCTGGGAGCAGGGAAGGGACAGTGGCAGAGGGCCCAGGAGGGGCTCTGCCGCAGGCAGCTTTCAGCCCAGGGATGTACCTCACAGTGGCAGGTATGACAAGGGCTGTCCACATCTGTGAAGTTCTGCCCATTGGCATACACTAGGCCATGGTAGGTGCAGCTCTCGCAGCCAGGGCAGCAGGTACCTAGGTGGGATGGGCTGGTCAAGGTGGGCTGGTCAAAGCCAGTGAAGAAGGGTGAGATCTGGTGGGGCACTCACCAGGTGACTGGGTAGGATGCTGGCAGGGTGCAGGAGAGCAAAGCACAGCCCTGCACACAGGCACTCCATCTTGGCAGGAACAGGTGGTGCAGGGCTGCCCCTCCGGCTCCCACTGGATCCCCTCAGCAAACTCCACACCATCGAGCACACAGGCTACAGCGAGGGGGGGTGACGGGTCTGTCACCATGGCAACCTAAATATCTTCCTCTGTCCTTGTCCTTCCCAGCCCATGGGGGCCCTGGTTTGCACGACAATATAGCCTCTGAGCAAACCCTGAGATACTTGGCAGGCCCTCGTTATTGGGGTACAGTTCTCCCCTGAACCCCACCCCATCCCCATACACACCTGAGCAGAGCTGGGGGCCAGAAGCAGACCGTGCACAGGGGGTGACCGGGCAGTCCTGTTCTTCACAGGATACTTCACCGGCCTAGGAAGAGGGCCAAGTGAGAGGCCCTTAACGGGTGCCACAGACCTGGGCGGAAGGTGGGCCCACTCACTCACCTGGCAGGCACACCGAAGGCAGCGGCCGTTCTCTTGGAGGGTGAAGGTCTCCTGGCTCTGATATTCATGTCCCTGGTATTGACAGCCTGGACAGGAGGACAGGGCTCTGGGGGACAGAACTAGTTGCTGAGCAGGAAGCATCATGCCACCCCAAGGCATATTACCCCCGTCTTGAGGAAACTCACCTAGGCATGTCCTCTAGGAGGCCCTGCCTGCACCCACCACACACACCACAGAGACGTGTGCCACGAGAAGTGAGGTGAGGACTCAGCTATGGGGTAGGGGCATAGGGGCAGGAAAGCAAAGCTCACCATCATCCAGAGCCTGTCCCTACATGGTGCTTGCCCCTTGCGTGGTGAATGGTGACCCTGCCCCCACTCACCATCACAGACAGGGCAGCATTGCCCAGGAATCCTGCCCGGATATCTGCAGGGTGCAGGTGGGCAGGGCAGAGGCTCACACTGGACACTCCCATTCTGCCAACAGGGCCCAGTCAGCAGGGAACAGACCCTGAAGCCAGGCCCTCCCTGACAGGCCGCCATACTCACAGCACAGCGGCAGCTGGAACAGCGGTCCTGGGAGTCCACAGGCTCCCCACTGCTGTGCTCCCGCCCATTTAGGAAACAGCCTATTGGGAAAACAAATGCGCTCAGATGTTCTTCAGGGGAAACTCACCACCCCAATCCAGATAACTCATGCTGGGCAGCCATCAGCACTCCCGACCTCTCTAGGGTCCCTGTTCCACTCCCGACTCCTGACTTACCATCACACACTGGGCAGCAGGTGCCCGGAAGGGGCCTGGCAGGGTATGGACACAGGCTGGCACACTCCCGCTGGCGGCATTGGATGTGACCCTCCTAGCAAGGGAAGGCAAAGGAAAGACCCACCCCCCGGGTTCAGCCGAGAAACAGAAATGGCATTAGAATCCCAGCCATCCACTCATTGGATGTTCCTATGGGATGAAATGCATTCCCCACCCCCAAGGTTCATACGTTGAAGTGGTTGCCCCTGGTGCCTCAGAATATTTTCTCTTTTGGAAACAGAGCTGGTGAAGACGTAGTTAGTTAATGAGGTATTACTGGAGTAGGTCGTTCCCCTAACCCACTATGACTTAGCATCCCTATATAAAGGGGAACTCAGATTCACACAGGGAGAATGCCACAAGATAAAACCAGATTTGGATGTTGCGGCTGGCTGAGGGACGGCTTAGCAGTTAAGAGTGTTTCCTGCTATTGTAGGGGAAGTGGTGGCCCCAGCCACCTGGGACTCCAGCGCCAAAGGACCTGTTGTCAATGGTCATCATGGGGACCGCACTCACATGCACAAACCCACACTCAGACACACATGTATCCACATCATTAAAAAAGAAAAATGAGGTCACGTGTGGTGGCGCACGCCTTTAATGCCAGTTCTTGAGAGGCAGAAGCAGGCAGATCTGTGAGTTCAAGGCCAGTCTGGTCTATATAGTGAGAGTGTCTCAAAAAAAAATTAATAAATGAAAAATAAAATCTTTAAAAAATACTTGGATGCTATAGAAGCCAAAGAATGGCATGAGAAGCCAGGAAAGGCACAAAAATTCTCTCTCACAGTCATCTACGCAAGCCAAATCTGCCACACCTTGGTCTTGGATCTCTGGCCTCCAGAAACATGGAGTATATGTGTGTAGTTTTAAGACACTTAGTATGTAATCCTCAATTACAGAAGCCTTAGGAAGCTGGCACAGACGGACAACCTAGCATGTTCCTTAGCTATCTGTGACTCAGTCTACCTATCTGGAAAAAAAATAGACAATAGTAGTCCACTGCTCATGGGCTTGTGGGTTGAAATGAAAAGTGTAGGTGGGCATCTACCTCGGGAAGCTGGTGCTTAAAACTTGTTCCAACTTTGCCCTCTGCCTATTCCTAGGGCATCTTTCCCCACTTGCCCTTCGAGGCCTAGTTGAACAGCACCCCCACCCGTGAAATTCTAGATCCAAGCTTCGGAAGAACAAGATAACACAAGCCACATTAAGCTGTGTAAATTATTTTTCCAAGGCCAACTTTTGAAACATAAAAGGAAACGAAGAAATTAAAAATTTTATATTATAATCTATTTACCTATCACATGTAAAATACTATTTCAACACGTAATCAACACAGAGTACCAATGAGATATTCTGCATTCCTTTTTCATCCTACTGTGCTGTTTTTTGTGGGGTTTTTGTTTGTTTTGTGTTTGTTTGTTGGTTGGTTGGTTGGTTTTGAGGGAGGACAGTTGTAACAAGGTCTCACTGCATAACCTACACTGTCCACATAGTCATGATCTTCCTGCTTTGGCTTCCTAAGAACAGGGATCACAGGCAGATGTAACTAGTTCCAGACAGGGTCTTACCATGTTGCCCAGGCTAGCCTCAAATTCATGAATTTCCTGTCTCTGCCTCCTAAATGCTGAGATGAAAGCCATTTGCCCCCACATCTAGCCCACGGTAGTTCTGGCCAGCCACATCTTAAGGGCTCTGGTGTCACAGGATTGGCTACTGCAAGTGTGACTGCATTCCTCCCTCTCTGGAGCTCTGACCACCCAGCATGCCCTGCCCTACCGGCTCTCCACCCACCCATGAACTTCTTGAGCTAAAATGACCAGCCTGCTGAACAGAGCGGCGAACAGGCAAGCCCACCAGGTCTCGCGTGCTCACAGGGCCCACAGTACAACCGTCTCTGTCTCTGTCTCTTCTCGGTGCCCACGGATGTGGCCAATGGAATGAAATCAAGAATCCAGCAGGCCCGATGGCAGGCAGGGTGAGGGACAGTCCGAGGGCAGCCCCAGGACTCACCAGGCATTGGCAGATGCGGCAGGGGTCTCCAGCAGCAGTCCACTCCTGGCCATGGTCCCTGTGAGAGCTACCTTCTGTGCAGCCCGGGGCTGGGGACAGAGAACAGGGAATGGGAGTCATCCAGGGCCCCATCTTGCCTTACTTGCCACTCCCATCTCATGCTCTCACCTCTGTCTAGACTGGCGGTTCTCAACCTTCCTAAGGCTGTGGGCCCTTTAATACAGTCCTCGTGTTGTGGTGACCCCCAACTACAAAATTATTTTCATTTCTACTCCATAACTGTAACTTTGCTACCGTTATGAATCATAATGTAAATATTTTTGGAGATAGAGGGTCACCAATTGGGTTGCGACCCACATGTTGAGAACCACGGGTCTAAACTCTCAGAGACTCTCAATGCCCCAGGCGGGGGTGGGGGTGGGGCCCCCCATTGCTTCTCAGCCTGCTTTTCCATGCCTTTCCTAGACAGCACAGCACACCCTCCAGCGAGGATCCCCTGGGAATGCCTTCCCTTCTGGGCCCAGATGGACTTGTTCTCCTTAAATTGGACTATACCTGGTCCCTAGGGGCTTCTGCTCCTGCCTCTGTAACACTAGTTTATCCTGTGGCTGTGACTCAGGGTCCCCCTCTAGTGGTAATCCCCGAGGGAGGATTCTGTGTCTGGGTGCCCAAAGCAGATAGTATTCATTTATTATACAATACTAGAAGGTACACACATCACGTGCACCTTACAAGTGGAAAACACACGGAGGAACAATGACTTAGACCCTTGTAACCACTAAGAGACAACGGAAACATCTGAACTCCAGTGTGTACGGGTACTGTAGCTCCAGTGTGTGTTTGGCCTGGCTTTGCCTGCCCACTGATCAAACATCAGTCTAGAAGGGAGGGCTCTGGAGTCGAGAAACAGTGTGACCGTCTGCTGGGGACTCTACAAAGAGAGAGTCACAGGGACTGGAAAGGCAGCCCAGTGTTTGAGAGCACTGATTTCTCTTCCAGAGGACCTGAGTTCGATCCCCAGCACCCCCCCACAGGCACTGCATACACACGGTGCACAGATGGACATGCAGGCGAAACACCCCTACACAGTAAACAAATAAACGAATAACTGAAAGCGTCACAGGTTCTCACCTTGGCAGGCTGGGCAGCAGTGTCCAGGCCTCAGGACTGGCTCAGGGCAGGGGCTTGGCAGGCACTTCACTGGCACACATCGAACCAGGCTCCTCTACAATGGACAGTGTAACAGCCCTGGGTATGACTTCCAGCAGGCTCAAGGTGGGCAGGTGTCCAGCGGGGACGGAGGAGAGTCTCAGTGGCACCAGGCTCAGAGGGCATGTACAGGGAGGGCTAACAGTGACGGACATGGCAGGGTGGGGCAGAGATGGTCCAAGGAAGCGGGCCTGGGCAGAGGCTGCAGCAACTCACCAGGCAAGAGCATTGGAGACATGGGTTGGAACTGGACAAGAAGCTGGCCCCTTCCTCATGAAGCTGCCCTTCATACTCACAGCCTGGAAGGTTGCCAGGATGACAAGGGTCACCAGAGATCAGGGTAGGGGGGACAATACCCAAGGGAAGGCATGGCCCCAAGTAGGTGTGGACCCACTGAGGCTGGGGGATCCATGGGTAAGATCAGGCTGTCACCTGGACGGCAGACAGGGCAGCATTCCCCAGGTGGGGTGAGGGTCTCCGGGCAGTTGAGCTCAGAGCATGAGGGCCCCTGGCACTGCACAGTTCCCGCCTGCAGAGCAGACACCAAGTCCCCCCTTGAGCCCTCTCCACTGTCCAAGCTGGGGTACTCTGCAGACCTCAAAGGCCTAGCAGGCTCCAGACCAGGATGCCCAGAGGCATGGCCAGGCCTCGGGTAATGCGGAGCAGCGGGGGCATGAACAGTGGTGGGGGCTATACCCTAATCCTCTTACCTGGCAAGTGGAGATGACACAGGTCTCTGGATACCACATTTCAACAGCCCTGTGGCCCCCAGAGCAGCCTTCAAAACCAGGCCTGGATCCCCAAGTAAGAGACCCAGATGCCTGGGACTACATCAAACAGCTGGACGGGTTAATTTTATAGTTCCTTCATCTTTTCAGCAAGTGACAGCCAAAGGTCTGACTCTGACACAGTGTCCTGCCTTTATTTATAACAGGTGGGAGGAAAGTGTCTTGAAAGGTGAGCCTGGCCCACCCCTGTGCCACACGGTACACCATCGTCAAAGGCTATTAACATACAGCGCAGCAGTGGCCCTGAGACGCCCTCTCTATGTGTCCATGTCTTTGAACTACACAGTTCGGGACATGAGAAGAATGCCGGGGCTCTAAACCAGTGCCTCCTGTGTGTTCATCAAGCACTCTGCCAATGAGCCATACTGCTAGCTCCCTTAAAATCCATCCACTCCCAGGACTCCAGTCTTGGTCTCTATCCAAGGGCTGGCTGGAGTCCTCGTCCCTTCTAACTGACCACCAACTGGGATGCCTCTCCTGGTGGGATACCAGACAAAGTACGGGGCGCTCAAACAACCGAATTCCAGATAGGTGACACTGTGTTTTTTAGTATGTCCCAGCCTGGCCTGGTGATGCAGGTCTCTCTCTCATTCCAGGTGTTCTGGAGGCTGAGGAAGGAGGATCAAAAATTCAACACTTGCCTGGCCTATAGAATGAGTCCAAGGTCAGCCTGAGCAACTCAGCGAGACTATGACTCAGAAGAAGCAAGCGAGAAAGCAAAGACAGAGAAAAAGGAGGTCTGCGAATACAGGTTAGTGGTAGAGTGCTTGCCTGGCATGCCGTTGCTCCTGGTTTATGCTCCTGGTTGCTCCTGGTCAGTCACACACACACACACACACACACACACACACACAGTGTGGTGGCTCACGCTTGCAGTTCCTGCACTGTAGGCCAAGACAGAAAGACTGTTGTGAGTTGAGTCCAGCCTGGGCTACCCAGTAAGTTTCAGACTACAGTGTGAGAGCCTATCTCAAGAAACTAATAAGAAGCCAAACACGGTGGCACACACTTAGAATCCCAGCATTTGAGAGGTGGAGACAGGAGGATCAGGACCTCAAGGCCAGCCTCAGCAACATGAAATAGTCTAAAAAAAAAAAAAAAAGAAAGAAAGAAAGAAACACACACACACACACACACACACACACAAGAACAAAGAATGTCCCAAGTATGGAGTATACTTACTCTGTGTGTGTGTGTGTGTGTGTGTGTGTGTGTGTGTGTGTGTGTGTGTCTGTGTCTGTGTCTGTGTGTGTATATATATATTTTTAAATCATGTGTTATTTGAAATTCAGATTTTGCAAAGACTAGCTAAAGAAGAAACAATGAACTTGGAAGACAGAGGCAGGAGAATCCCTGCGACTTTGAGGTCAGCCTGCTCTACATAGGGAGCTCCTGACCAGCCAGGGCTACATAGTGAGACCCTGTCTCCGAACAAACAAACAAACAAACAATTCCCATAGAGCCACAGCTCTCTTCAAGTCGCTGACATCACTGCCCTCCTAGCTTCCTGTCTGACCTCTGTTATTCCATAGGATCTAACTGGTCACCAGCTCCTGCCTGTTCTGTAGAAACAGACCCTGCCTGCGGCCCCTGCCCTCTCTGACCCTGTGTCTAGACAGTAGCTGAAGCAGCCTTCCAGCTGGTCTCTGCATCCATCCCATACTAGGGGGGTATTCCTAACACTCTTCTTTGGCTCTGTGGACTTCAGCAGTATCCCAGAGCCACAGAAGGAAATCCAAACTGCATGGCTGGCAGTATCCTGGCTCTTCCTAGACGGACTCCCGCCACATGTCTCTCCCACCTCTGCACCTGAATACAGAGGACTCTTAAGCATTCCTCTTTTTGTGCAATTCCACCAGGAAGCTTTGGGGGCCCAACAAGCATGTGGAGATTGAGCTCCGCAAAGTTGAACCAGTTGGAACCCCAAGGTCATGGATGAAAGTCTGGCCAGGAAGGGCAGATAGACTCCATAACACAACCGGCACAGCATGTCAGTGACAAGTGCCTAGAGAGAGGCAGACAGACAGGTGTGGGATACCCAAGTGGGTCTCAAGCACTCACCAGACAGCGGCAGGTGGTGCAGGCATCTGGGGAGAAGGTCTCCCCATGACCATAAGACTGGCCATTGTGGCTGCAGCCTGAGATGGAGACAATAATGTCATTTGGGACCCTAGTGTGTTTTCCAGGCCCCCAAACAGCTGCAGTGGGTGGGTGGGGTGATACTGACCGAGGCAGTGCGGCAGGTTGGGCTGAGGGCCACAGTGTGCGGTCCCATCACGGCACACACAGGCCGTGCAGACGTCAGGTTCCCAGCGAGCCCCTTCAGGACAGGTGCGTCCCAGCCCCCAACACTGGGAGGCAGCTGAGCAGCAGCCACAAGACTCCAGCTGCATCACCCTGGCTTGCAGGTCCCTGTTCTGGGGAAACAGAGTGGAGGGGCAGGCTCGCCTCAGCTTCCGTCATGGACAATTCCTCAAGGATTGTGAGATGGAGAAACTGAGGCAGAATGAGGATTCCCGAGCAAAGGTGAGTGCCCTTCCATCAGCATGTTTCAGGGAATGTAAAACTGGTGCTTGAACAGAGAAACCCAGGATTCATACCCTGCCCTAGTAATTAAAGAGTAATTTGGAGTGGAGGATAAAACCCTGGCTGGTGGTTACTTGTTATAAAGCCTAGTCTGGTTGTAAACTCATGCCAACCCTCCTGCCTCAGTCTTTCCGGTGATTACAGGCATGCATCACTTTGCCTGGCTTTTAAAGTCAGTATTACCCATTCACAGTCTTCCCAAGTGCTGTCTGATGCTTAGGAAGTACTCCATCCTCTCTCTCTCTCTCTCTCTCCCTCTCTCTCTCTCTCTTTCTCCCTCTCTCCCTCTCTCTCTCTCTTTCTCCCTCTCTCTCTCTCTCTTTCTCCCTCTCTCCCTCTCTCTCTTTCTCCCTCTCTCCCTCTCTCCCTCTCCCTCTCCCTCTCTCTTTAAAGATTTATTTATTTATTTATTATGTATACAGTATTCTGTCTGCATATGTCCCTGCAGGCCAGAAGAGGGCACCAGATGTCATTACAGATGGTTGTGAGCCACCATGTGGTTGCTGGGAATTGAACTCAGGACCTCTGGAAGAGCAGTCAGTGTTTTGTTTTGTTTTGTTTTTTTTAAATCTCTGAATCATCTCTCCAGCCCAAAATTTAAGGTTATTTTGTTTTGTTTTGTTTTGTTTTGTTTTGTTGAGACAGGGTTTCTCCATGTAGCTTTGGTGCCTTTCCTGGAACTCACTCTGTAGCCCAGGCTGGCCTCCAACTCACAGAGATCTGCCTGGCTCTGCCTCCCGAGTGCTGGGATTAAAGGTGTGCGCCACTGCCACCTGGAGTATTCCATTCTCTTTGCCAAATGCATGAACAAATATGTAAACCTGGGTCAAAAACACATACCCTGGAGGCTCCACATTCCAAAAAGAAGAGGTATCAGGACGAGTCAGGTTCTGATAATAACAAATAACACACATGCTGTATATACAAACACATGTACAAACACCCATACATGTAAAATAAAAATAAATTAAAAAAAAATAACAACAAAATATCTGAACTAGAGATTCAGATAAGAACCTCTCTGTGTGCATTTGCAACAGAATTCTAATGGCTGGGGACATATACCTTAGTGGCACAGCCCTTGCCTAGCCTGTGTGAGGACCTGGGTTCAGTCTCAAGCACTGTCAAAACAACTACAAATAAACAAAACAAGGGCGGGGGGGGGGGAATGGCTCAGTGGTTACAAGATGGGCTGCTCACGCAGAGGACCTGGGTTTGGTTCCCAGCTCCCACATGACAGTTCATAACGGTCCATATAACTCCAGTTCCAAGAGACCCGACACCCTCTGAACCCGGTTCCTCTGGAACATCAGTCAGTGCTCTTAACTGCACTCCTCTTTAGCAGGTAACTGTTACACTGCCTAAGACCTTGAAGTGCATGCCACTCGGGACCCTTAAGATTTGGAATGTACGTACTCGGGTCTCTCTTCGCCTCCTCGTGGTACTGGCTGCTGAGATCTTGGACCAGGCAAATCAGCATGGGACACAAAGCTCAGCTTTCCCAGACCCTACAATAAATCTCCCATGGTAGTGAGTTAACCCTAAATAAATTCCTTTGCTAAAAAAAAAAAAAAACCCAGGATGTGGTGGTGCCCACCGGTAGGATTTGCTAAAAGAGAGAAGGGAGGGGTCACGTGGTGGCCATACCCCAGGGGCATGTACTTCAAGGTCATAGCTAGAACAGCTACCCACAACAGCCCTCTTCTGGCCTCGACAAGCCGTAGGCACACACATGCTGTACATACAAACACATGTACAAACACCCATACATGTAAAATAAAAATAAATTAAAAAAAAATAACAACAAAAGCTGATCACGGTGGTGCATGCCTTTAATTCCTGCACTCAGGAGCCAAGGGCAAGTGGATCTCTGTCAGTTCAAGGCTACCCTGGTCTACATAGTGAGTTCCAGGACAGCCAGGGCTACACAGAGAAACCCTGTCTCAAACAAAATGAAACAAACAAACAAACCCTCTTTTAGCGTCCTTGGGGCCTCCAAACCAAGCCCCTCTCTGTCTCCCAATGTGCAAAGCCCCTCCTACCCCATCCCCGCCAGTCCACCTCCATGGTACCTGCTTTCTGAGATCAGTCACCTCGGCTTCCAGCCGTTCCAGCCTCTCCTCCAGGGGGCACCATTGCTGTTGCTGGGCCCCAGCAGGGGCCAAGGAGCGGGAGGGGGCCTGCTGCTGATAGTCAAGAATGTCAGCGAGCCTGGGGCGCTCTCTGGAGACCTCTCCACCTAAAGGGGGCAAGAAGCCAGCTTGGCCTGTAGGCAGGGGCTGGGAAGGTCTCCTGGGTCCTGTCCTCTAAACCACACATGGGAGAAGAGTCACCCTGTGCCCCACCCTGTCCCCCTATCCCACCATGGCGGGGGGGGGGGGGGGGGGGAGCGGGGAGGAGACACCGTCTGTGAAGGGGCTGGCGTGTTCACAGCAGCACGGCAACGCAAATCACAGGAGGTAGAAGCCCTCAGAGCACCCCTACATCAATTTCCTGAAGGGACACAGAGCAGGATCCAGACCAAGGCCTCCCTGGAACCTGCTCTGACTCTGTGGGGATCCTTAGTCATGGAGCTGTGGCGTCTGGACCATCCATCCACTGTGGGCCAGAGATAGATCTGACATGTTATGTTTAACAAGAGACCAACACAGGCTGAAATGCCAGGGAGGGTGTTGGATACATGCAAGGAGGGCTCTTTAATTAGCTGGAGGTCGTGTGTGTGTGTGTGTGTGTGTGTGTGTGTGTGTGTGTGTGTGTGTGCGCGCGCGCGCTCACTCATATCCCCACCAGTCTACACCTATACCTGTCAGTAAAGTCACTGCTTTGGAAAAGGGGCTCCCCACCCCACTGTTTGTAGGTGTGTGGCAGAAGCTCGGGAGCCCCCATATTGGATGAGGTGGGCTCTGGAAAGCAGAACCCAGCTGTGCTGTGCCCTCCAGGCACGGTGAAGACAGCCTGTCCCTGGTTCTAGATAACACTATGTCCAGGAAGGAAGAACGTGCCTCTGAGCTTAGGCCCGGGGTGGGCACAGCCACCCTCCCTCACCTCACCCCCATTAAGTCAGGAAGGTAGGAGCAAAGGCCTCTTCCCACAGACATCCAGGGAGTGGGAGGGCAATGAAGGAGGCTGAAGGAGGTGGCTGTGAGTTTCCCACAGTGGGAACTCAATCAGGACAAGCTGGAGTAACCGAAGGCCTTTCTCCCAGGGACACCAGGCCTGCGAGGCAGAGGGACGTCACCTACTTCTTTCTTTACTGTCATCGGGGGTGGGGGGGGTGGGGGGGTGGGGGGGGTAGGGAGGGGCATTCCAGTCCATGGTTCAATTAATACCACGCCAACTCACTCAGTACGACTCTACTGTCCCCCCTCAGTTGACGCATAACCCACCCCATCCTCTCCTTTCCCCACCCTCTTCACCGAGCCAGAAGAGAAAGCCCCATAATTCAGTTTGCTCCCCTCTCTCACACAGTACAAG